AACAATGTATTTATAAGATTATATGTAAGTAATATAATGTGAATGATGCAAACAAAATTTAAAAAAAAGATCTTAAAAATATGCGAGGTAAACTTAAGTAGTCGATTATTGCCCGAAACAGGACGATCATACAGCAACGAACCTTGAAAGACGAAACAAATAAAACGGATCGACATCCACCAATCACGAACCACAAACCATGACCTTTTGAACTTGTGCAAGTAAAAGTGCGTTTCCCAAGAGGTCCGCTAAGATGATTGACGGAACAAAATATGCAAAACGCACAGCGCGATACAAAGAATTTCGCTAGAAAAATACCTTCAAAACAGTGCTTTTACGAACGCTGAAGAAGAGTTTTTTCTTTTCAGCCCTCCACCCGGGAGTATCACAGTTTCTAATCACATTTCATTATAAATCGATAAATGATCATCCCAGGTAAATTTTGAGCGCGACAAACGTAATCAGTAATCAGTAACCAGTCAGATAGGATTTCCCAACTGAATCCAAGCTAGCTAATTGCTATTCCCTACACCAGGCTACATTGCTTAAAACCATATAGAAATACCTTAAAAAGCTAAACTATTTTGTTTCCCGTATCTTACTTAAGCCTCCAAAACCCCAACCTCATCCGCTTGAGAGAACGTCACCTGTTTAATGTCAAGAGGGCGCTTACCTCAGAAAAGTTTACCCTCTCCTACGAAAAGTGAGGGTTATGACATTATTGAACTTCAATTCATCGCAGACCATCAACAGGTGAACACGAAAAAACTTCTTGGTAAGCTTTTTTATTTAAATATATTTAAATTGTCGAGGTTACGATGGCTTTAAATTCACACTATTTTGCACTAAGAAATCAAAATCTGTATTTTGAACTAAAAATGCTGTCGAATCTTTTAATTTTTTGTCATTCGGCACTTGATTGAAATGACAGGATTGTTTTGCATTCAACGAAAATGGGGTTGTAAAACCTAAAGAAACTGTCAGGCTTTTACAGAAAAGGCTTGCCTAAGTTGCGTTAAATTTTATAAATTAATTGCAAGTATAAGTCGATCGACAGTGCCAATCTAGCTTCATTTATTAGACTTAAAGACATGCATTTGCCTTTAACATTAATATCATTCTGGAAAGTTGATTTAGGGCTGAAAATAACAGACAGCAGGTCGCCGGTCATGATGACCGGCCAAATGTTTTTTAAGCCCGGAGAAACCGCGATTCTGGTCGTTCAAATAATGAGTACTACGATGTTTTTTTTTTTTTTGCCTAAGGAATATCGAATTACGCTGTCAGCAGATCATTTATACTGCTACATTGACGTTCAGGTTTTTGGCGGCAAGTCAGTGAAGAAATGCATTCACACGTTGAAGAGTTACTTTCAGCGGTTTTCGGGCGTTTTAATCAATGTCCGTTCCACCTTGAGTATCGTATCATCGCCGTACGGTAGTGTCTGAAACCTCTAAAGGTCAAAAGTGCAGAGTAAATCCTTTTCAAACTCAAGGTTACGGAAAGGGAATACACATACGATTAAAAAAACTTTAGGAATCACGAAAAAAAAAAATTGGGTTATTAAAGAACAAAATCTGCACTCATTTGGTTAAGGTCTCATTTTCTGCATTGATACGATCAGAAAGGAACGTCGGTGAAACTTGATCGTTTTCGTTGCCAGTCACGTGATCGAAAGTCTCCTTTACAAAGAAGAAACGTCGTCAATATTTTCGGTAAAGAAGTTGATTCAGCGAGAATTCTGTTCCACAAATAGCGTGTTTATTATCAGAAGCCAATAAATGTACAGCAGAGCTTTGATTTGGGTCATCGCGCAACACTTTATCTCGAAGGGCTCAAATATCAACAGAAATTTGCACAAAGTTGTTTAGAAGAAGGAGAATTGAAGCCGAGATAGACGACATTCCTTCTAGATTAGCTTAAATTTTTATCAAACTATTCTAGCTTATTCTGGAATCGAGTTCGCAAACGAGATGCATGTTCGACATAAAGAAATTATTATTAATCGATGCGCGGAGAAACACAGCCGGACTACCTGTTGAGAATTGCGATCGATTTGCCTGAACTCCGTCGAATTCATCACTGGAAAGGGTGATTTTCCCAATCCTTTTACAAGTAGAAGTCAAACATCAGACGGACCAAATGTTGGCTGTTTACAATTTTACCGTTAGATCGTAAGAACACTGAATTCGAGCGTTAAAATCGTTAAAGCGTTTGGACAAATCTTTCGAGCGTTGGACAAACCGTTAGAGCGTTTAGGAAACCGTTAGCTATCCTTTAGTTTTCTAACGGATAACGGATTATCTTTAGTGTATGTTTTCCAAAAGAAGGCCACATTGCTGATTACAGCAAAGCAGAGAGTGCAGTACGACCTTCATCGTTGCGTTACTCCGCAACTCAGGTTTGTTGCGGTTTTGGGACGACATGACGACAAGTCTTGTAATTTATTGCGGTGTTTTTTTTGTTGAAATGTTTTAGTGCAAAGCAGCAAAAACGCAAAGAAAAAAGAATTTAAATCATAACAGGTTATAGCCGAGCAAAACGCATTAAGCGACACTGAAACGTGTATAAAATGTTCGTATCCAAAAATGACCGGTCAAAATGACCTGCAAGACGATAGTTTGACCAGTCAAGTCCGCCATCAGGCCGGACGTTTTCCGTTGACCGGCCGTTATTTTCCCTTCAGCCCTGTTGATTAAACTTAAGACTTGTATTCGAATTTATGTGGCTACGGATTGTGATTTTAAATAGAAAAGAATACTAACAGAAATCGATAACACATGATTTCGGCTAAACAGTAAAAAATATATCGGTAAGTAAATGCGGCGATTATTCCGGGCCATTGCAAAGAATGACCCAAGAAAATTTAAAAGCTGACGAACGCTGACAGAGTTTTTTTTCTTATCAGCCCTCCACCCGGGTTTATCACAGTTTTTAACCACATAATATTTCATTATAAATCGATAAATGATCATCGCATGTAGATTTTTAGAGCGACAAACGTAACCAGTCAGATAGGATTTCCTATAAACTGAATCCAAGCTAATTGCTATTCCCTGCACCAGCTACATTACTTAAAACCATATAGAAATACCTTAAAGAGCTAAACTTTTGTATCCCGTATCTTACTTGGGCCTCCCCCGCCCCAACCTCATCCGCTTAAGAGAAAGTCACCTGTTTAATTTCAAGAGGGCACTTACCCCATCTTTTCTAACGAAATATGCGGCTTATGTCATTATTAAACTTCAATGTATCAGAGACCATAAAAAGCTTTTTTTTTTAACTTGATTATTTGAATTCAATTCTTGAGGTTATGACGACTTAAAATTCACACAATTTAGCGATAAATGTTCACCGCAGTAAATTTTATTAGCGACTAACGTACCAACCACTCAGATAGGACGCCATGAATTTGCGTGGAAAGATTTAACTGACGAAAAGCCGGCTTAATTACAATCCTGCTAATTCAAATTTGTTGTATCTTATTAAGAGAGAACGAGCTCAGTCCCTCTTGATCTTACGTTAAATTAGATTTAACTAAGTCATTTTGGCTTACTAAGTTGAGTTGGGATCAAGAAACTTGAAAGGGTTTTTATTTTATTTTATTTTTTTATCGCGCCTCAACTGTTTTCCCCGACGAAACGAAGGAAAATTTGAGGATGAGGCCGCTGATTAAACCGGAAATCCATTCTTCTCTTCTGAATGATGTATAAGAAGGTTTGGCGATAGGTGTTATCAAATCTTCTTCTCTAAGAAAATAATTGTATCAAAATTTGGATGTTGATTGCATGGAAAAAATCGATGCAGCTGGTTATACTGATGGCTTTCAAGTTCCAGCTGTCAGAAAAAGATACCTTTAATGATTGACTAGTTGTTTCTGTGAATCCTGAGCAACTAAAATACAGCGGCGTTTGTTCCCATACAAGTGTCTATATTCGAAGGTTACACAACAAAGCTAACGCTCATATTTGTGCTTGGCAAGTAATAAGTGAATCTGTATCGATGAGGATATTGACTCATTTGTATGTCCAAGTATACGCTTCCACTGCGTCTTATTTATGTTGACGTGGCGCCGCACTGTGGAACAGACTAGATAAAAGACAGTCACCCTCTCTTAATTTGTTACGTACATTAAGGCTGCCACAAACTAAGACCTAAGATTTAATCCTACAGATTCAAAAAGTTTGGATGCAGGGAACCAACATAGAATAGGCGATTTTGCTGACGTTTAATTGTTTGCATTTTTCCTCATTTGCATACGACTTAACTCATAGAAGCCGTGAACGTATATATATAAACTAACTGCAAAAGCTGAAAGAGCTGATTAAGTTGAGCAATTTGTGCAATTTTCAACTCTTTGCAAGCAATACTGAAGGAAATATCAGCCATAAAAAACTGCGAAATTGCTTAATTGAATGTAAATGTTGCCTACCAGGTCCTTGGTCCGGCCACCAGACGACAACATAAACCAGCCAAATAGTGATTGAAAAGAGAGCCACAAACAGTTCAGTTTTTTTCCTACCTTTAGTTCTTAGTAAATTACGATTCATGAATTGAAGTGAGAATCTTTGAACTTTGAGTCATATTTTAAGTTAAGTACTTTCAACGACTGGAGTAAAAAAAAAAAACTGCACGCAACGCGTTTAAGTAAAATATGTTGCTCGAGCCTTTCCCAGTAGTATTCAGTCATGAGAAAGAAGGCCATAGAAAGGAGGCTTATATCCGTTCGATTGGTTTCACTAAAAACTTCACAAAATTGTTCATTTATCTTTGCCTGAATGTAGCGAAGCGTAATGAAACAAAAGATAAATGGTTTCTTGAATTCCCAAGCACAAGTGCATTTGTCGGCAGTGTGTTTTAAGTGCCGGCGTGAGATTATGGGAAGAAAGTGTGATATGTAAACTAGCAAGTATATATTCGCTGAACAGTAAACAAGTTTCATTGTGGATTTTTACAAGCGGACAGTTAAATTCTTAGCTCGTTCTTCCTATCTCGTCCACATGGCGCGGGGCCGTCGTGGTCGCCCTGCTTCAGTTCGGTCTCGTGTTTCGAGAGTCAACGCGGACATTGAAGACCCTGTTGTCCGGCCGTCCAGAACAAGAGAACATCGAAGTTCAGGCCGCCGTAGTTCTCGTTCACATGTTGCAGCTTCAAGCGGTTCTGGCCGTAGTTCTTCGCCTTCGCGAAGGAGTGTCCGCGAGCGTTCGCACCGTAGAAGTCGTTCCGCTTCTCGCAGCCCTGAGCCCCCAACTTGGGCGAAGGAAATCTTAAAGGCTCTGGAGGCGAAAACGGAGGAGGTCAAGGTTGTCAAGGAACAGTTCTACTCACTAAAACGCAAGTCTGCAGAAGAGGAGCCCGAGTTCAAATATAAGAGTAACAAGAAACAGTTCAAGTTCAACACTGACGTCAAGGATAAGTTCAACCAGATTTTAGAGAGGGCTGAGGCGGATGACGCGATCACTAAGATTGCCAACGAAGGTATGTCACTCCTTGATAACAGAAATAAGCTTATTTCTATTGCTGACCGGGATGGCTGGGACGTGGTAGAATATTTTGAGGCGGACCCACTCACTAAAAATGACGAAGAAGAAAAGAAACTTCGTGTCGCGCGCAAGGAAGCAGAGAGGTCTCGGGAGAAGCGAAATCGAAAAAATAGCCTGAGAAGCAAAATGGGAACTCGTTTTAAGTCTCAGTCTACATCGTCCAAAAGCCGCCCCAGTGTAAATTTTGGCCCGTCACATAGAATCGTGGATTTTCGCCCGGATGTCGGTCAGCTTTTGGTTAATCCTGTACCGGAGAAAAAAGCTTCTGTTTATCGCTGCTTTGGTTGCGGCAAAGCAGGCCATTTCATCAAGGATTGTAAAGTTTCCTCTTCCGCTAAATGACTAGCTGACTCTGATTTTGACGAGTTTTCGGAGCGCGGCGAGGCTGAACTTGACACGGGCGTTTCCTCAGTATTTTGGATTAGAGGCCGCTTGCGCAAGTTTTTGCATGTTTGGCGTTCTACTGGGGCCTCTTCTTTTGTTTTTAGTGTTATTGAAAGCGGTTATAAGTTACCATTTGTTTCAATTCCAGTGAAGTATTTCTTTAGTAATCATAAAAGCGCTGTTGGTAATAGAGCTTTTGTTTGTGAGGCTATCGAGCAATTGTTGTTGGCGGGTAGCGCGGTGGAAGTCAAGCGTGACCAAGTTCATGTTTGCAGTCCCTTAGGTGTAGTTCCTAAAAAGAATGGCAAACTTCGATTGATTCTTGACCTTCGCTTTCTTAACAAGCATCTAGCCAAGCGTAAGTTTATGTTCGAAGACCTCCGAGTCGTGGCGGAAATTCTTCAGCCAGATGATTGGTTTTTTACTTTCGATCTTCGTAATGGCTACCATCATGTTGACATTTTTCAAGAGCATTGGAAGTATTTGGCTTTTTCCTTTACTTTCGATGGAAAGCCGCGCTATTTTTTGTTTTGTTCGCTTCCTTTTGGTTTAAGTACGTCTCCTTTCGTTTTCACCAAATTGTAAATACCAGTTGTTGCACACTGGCGGTCGCAAGGCATTAGGATTTCTGTCTATTTGGACGACGGTATCGGCGCTGATTCAAGTAAAGATTCGTGCTCCCAGGACGCGCAACTAGTGCGGACCGATCTTGATCGCCTTGGCCTGCTAGTGAATGAGGAAAAGAGCAATTTTTTACGCGCGCCAAAAAGGGGAGCACTTAGGCTTTATTTTGGACCTTACCAAGGGAGAATTTAGTATCCCACCAGGCAAGATTGATCACCTGTTTAATCTGATTTCACTGCTTCTTGACGATGTTTCACCCACGGATAGGGATGTGTCTCGTATAACGGGTACCCTTATTTCCATGGAGCTCGCATTAGGTCCAGTTGTGCCTTTGCGCACCCGAGCCTTGTACGCAGTCCTTAATAGCGTTCATAGCCTTAGCTGCAAGGTGGCTTTAACGCGTGAAGCTGTAGAGGAACTTAATTTTTGGAGAGATAATTTCTTTCGTTTGTGCGGCAAACCAATCTGGAGGCCCTCCCCGAAGATAGAGCTTTTGTCTTATTCTAATGCCAGCAATGTGGGTTGGGCGGGATTTATTGTTCAACTTGGTACGCACATCGCTAGAGGGAACTGGTTGGGTTCCGAGGCCCTATGCAGCTCTTCTTTCCGCGAGATTCGTGCAATTAGATTTGTTCTTCAGTCGTTTTCCGGTCTTTTGGCGGGCAAGGAGTGCAAGCATAGATCTGACAATCAGAGCGTCTGCAGTATTTTGTCTGTCGGCAGTAGTAAGCCTCATTTGCAAAAAGAAGCGGTTGCCATTTACAATTTGTGCCATGAAGCAGGTATTCGCTTTTCTGCGGAGTGGATACCTCGCCACTTTAATTTCAAAGCTGATTATTGGTCGAAAGTTGTCGACACCGATGATTGGATGCTCAACCCTCTCCATTTTCGCCAGTTGGATATTCTGTGGGGACCCCACACCGTAGATCGTTTTGCGAGTCATAATTCTTTCCAGTTGCCCAGGTTTTGTTCTCGATGGTGGTGTCCTGGGACCGAAACTGTTGATGCTTTTACCGTCAGCTGGGGAGGGGAAAACAATTGGTTGGTCCCCCCCGTCTTCCTTATTCCCAGGGTTATCAATCACATGAAACTGGGTAAAGAACAGGGCACTCTTATTATCCCCTTTTGGCAATCTGCTCATTGGTGGCCGTTGGTGACTCGAAGCCCCGGGGTTTTCCACCCTTTTGTTCTTGACTGGCGGGAGATTCCTTTACATGAGTCTACTTTTCCCCCTGGTTCCGCAGCCGGGGATTTTTTCGGGTATGGTATTCCCTCGTGTAGGGTATTTGCTTTGAGAATTGTATTTCCATAGTTTCGCTGTAGAAAGTTTTTTCGGGTATTAGATGAGTACCTTGAACGAGTTGTTCAGCCTAATTATTTGTTTTTGTTTTGTCTGAGCCTTTTTGGCCTAGGTGTGGGCCTTTACTCTGTGCAAGTCAGTGGACTTGGAACTGTACTAGTGCGCACGAGTTGTGCAGCTGAAGCAAGCCGAGAGGGCAGTGCCGACACAGTAGTGTATTCATTTTAGAGTCAAGTGGACTCCTCTATCCTTTGTGTGGATTTGCTTACCAGTTGACGCCGAGTGGGCCAAGCCTCCATGTGTTGGAGTGTGTACTGGTGCTGTGTTAACTTGCCATGTGGGCAGTTTTCGTTGCAGACGATGTTTATCTTGCGCTTTTAGTGTTGTGTAGCAATTGGATGTTGTTCCTGTCTTTAAAGTGCCATGTTTTGGACATTGTTGATTTTCACTTTAGGCTTGTCGCCTTACCAACGTAGCAACGCGAAGATTCAGAGGCTTGTAGAACTGTTAAAGACTGTCATACTTAATGACTGTGCCGCTTCAACCGTGTCTTCGTATGCAGGGGCAGCCAATCGATGGATTGACTGGTGCAAGTCTTAATCGTTTCCTCCTTTACAGTCTAACCCAACCGCAGTTACTCTCTACTTAACAAGTCTTTCAGACCGTGGCTTATCTCGCTCGTCAATCCTTGGAGCAGCTTATGGCATAGCGTGGCTACATAAGAAACTTGGATGTCCTAATCCTGTCGACGATCCGCTCGTTTCTCAGACCTTGGCTGGTTTTAAACGCCTCCTGGCTGGCCCATCTAAGAAAAAGCAGCCTATTGAATCTCATCACGTCAGGGCGCTGAATCGTTCCTATGGTAACCCTCGTGCCTCTCTACCGAACTTACAAATGGTGTCGCTGGTTGCGCTTGGTTTTTGTGCCTTCCTACGTTGGTCAGAGCTGCGTGACTTACGTGCCTGTGACTTAAAGTTTTGCGACACCCACATGTCTGTTTTCCTAGACAGACTTAAGAACGATCAATTCCGTCAGGGATCTGTGGTTAAAGTTGCTCGTTTACCTTCTAGCTCTTGTCTTGTCTTGTCCTAAAATTCAAAACAAGAAAAAAAACATAAAACATGTATACGAAACATTAGCTACGAAAGTGTTTATGAGAAAAGAGAGCGAGGCCAATATTGAGAAATTTGGTTATTGTGTATATCATGTATGTATTGGACGGCAAAAACATGTTGATCAAGTGATGTGTTGAAAAGAGGGATTAAGAAAGTATTTGAGATAAATGCATCTCATTTAGCATTAAATGCTTTACTGGAAAAACATCATTTTTCCTGGCAGAATAAAGTTCTAATTTGTGGGTAGCTTTTAGTCTATAGCCTTAAAAACTCCAAGTGATGGTTCTCTTTTATGTAATTTGCACCTATAAACAACGAATTTTTCTGATAAAACGGATATGATCGATTATCGTAAAATCTTTATTGGTATTGAATTTGGCAAAAAAGACGTCTGGAGGGGAAATATCCGTCATTGCAATAAAGGGCTATTCACGGTAAAACCTCTTTCCAAAACATATCCACTACTTTAAATGCTCTGGGGATTCCACTTAATTAGTTTTACGGAACGTGCAATTTGAAAGCAAACAGTTTATCATTTGTGTGCACAATAAGTTTTAAAAATTTGTATTGGAAAGCTTTCAGTTTACATCCAGGGAAACCTTAAACGGCAACGTTTTTCAAAGGAACAAATCCCAGGAGCATTAAAAGACAAATCAAGTTTAAATGTTACGCTCATCCTTTTTTCGACCCCACTGTTGTTACAAACTATCGTCCAATATCAGTTTCACCCATATCATTTAAGACTGCGGAGAGACATGCATACAATGCACTCTACAGCGTTTAGTGCGAGAACGATTAATCTACATTAGACAATCGGGCTTTCGTTCGATGCACAGTACTGAAACTGCCTTGATCAAGATTATTGACGATCTGCTATTCAACCTTGACAATGACCGTGTCAGTGGAATGGCTTTGGTAGATTTTTTATCGTGAAACATTTTACATGTAGATCATACCCTGTTCGATGGTTTACCTCTTATTTGAAGGACAGACACCAACTCGTTGAGGGAGATAAACAGTCTAATGTACATGTCGCTATTGTTCGTCAAGGTATTCCCCAGAGATCCATGCTTGGCCCCTTGCTTTTCATCGTCTTTATCAATGGCTTACAGCTTTACGTCACTTCATCAAGAATTGATTTGTATGCTGACGATACAACGCTGACTTCCAGCACGAGCCATAGCTCTATCGGATGGCTAGAGGGTATCCTAAACTCGTCAGTTACGAAGTCGTCGATAGGGCAGCTTCTAACTAACTACCAATTAATGAAGGTAAAACCAAGGCTATGCTCATCGTCATCGTCTCAGCGTCTCCACACAAAGATCAATGAAGAAATGACTAAAGGAACTGAACTCGAACTCGTTCCCAGTGCTAAGCTGCTAGGTCTCCAAATTGACTCTGAACTCTCATTTCCTTCCCCTGCAGAGAAACTTAATTTTGTAAAAAGTTGTCAGAGCGAATTGGCGTATTAAAAAAGATAAGATCTTGCCTACCCACGAAACAAACTATTGTATTATAATACTGTGATGAGAGCTGTATTGCATAATTATGTCTACTCAGTTCAATTTGGACTAGTTGTAATGAGGAGAATTTAGGCTGTGTTTTTAAGCTACAAACGAGAGCAGCAAGGGGTAATTTCTGACGCTAATAACCAGGCGTCTATAGTGTTAAGCTTTTTAATAGTCTACAGTGGCGTCCATTTTTTATGAAGAAGTGAAAATAGCTTCGCAGTTACTACTTCAGTGTCATCTCTGGAACAGCTCAAGCCTAGAACTTAGAAATGCAGTATCACTAGAATCCTTTAAGAATAATTATCGAAATATCTTATTCAAAGAGCAGCAGGAATTACACCATTTCATAGTTTAATCAAATTCTTGTATATATTTCTCTAGCCATATCATTAGCTCTTATACTCATTTATATTGAGGTAGAACTTCTTAAAACCTATATTCATCGTCTTCCTTAGTTTTATTTATTTTGTATTGCTAATTAGACTTTGTATATTCAATTGGAATCTCCAAGTTTATGTTTGTTTGGTTCATTTTTTAATTTAGTATTCTGAGTGAAAAAATTATTAATCCAAAAATAAGCAATTTTAGACTTTAAAATGTTTATTTAAACAATAACAGTTTGAAGGAGAAGTTTTTTAACGAAGATTTTGTCAAAATTCCGCTCATTTTGTGAGTGACGGCATATGCCAGATCTTGAAGCCTATGTGTCATTCTGAGTGACCACCGTATTATTGTTCCACATTTAAATGACAATTGATTCTTCTTTCATAAATTGTACCATCCAAAACTCTTTTTGGTTTATACATATGGTTCAGTGATATTGTGAGATCTTAATTTTGGTTCATTTTGCAGATTTTGTAACATATGCATTTTTTCATTTTACAGTGAAGCCTATGTGTCATTCTGAGTGACCACCGTATTTTGTTCCACATTTAAATGACAAGTGATTCTTCTTTCATAAATTGTACCATCCAAAACTCTTATGGTTTACACATATGGTTCAGTGATATTGTGAGATCTTAATTTTGGTTCATTTTGCAGTGACCGTATGCCAGATCTTGAAGCCTATGTGTCATTCTGAGTGACCACCGCATTATTGTTCCACATTTAAATGAGAAGTGATTCTTCTTTCATAAATTCTACCATCCAAAACTCTTATGCTTTATAAATATGGGTCAGTGATATTGTGAGATCTTAATTTTGGCTCATTTTGCGAATGACGGCACTTGCCAGATCCTGAAGCATAAGTGTCATTCCAAGTGACCA